CCAGCAAGGATGCTTTATCAGAAACGTATTCCCCTTTTTGACTGTTCGCTATTCTAATCGATTTCCACAAATCGATAAGATTTCTGCCGTCTTTCCTGTTTCCATTTTTCCCTTCTTCGTCTGTCATCGATTTTGGCAGAAATTCTTGCCGACCACCGCCTAAAATAACCTGAAAAAATGGGCATGAAAATGGGTGCATTAATAGTCGAACCGAAATGCGGCGTACCGTTTGCTTTGTACAGATTTTCGAAACAGTAATCGAAGTAAATTCTCTAATTTTGGAAATTCGTTAGAAGTTCTTTCAAGCTTCAGTTTGAAAATCTTTTTGACCGCACTTCTCTTACGTTTCAGCATGCTGAAATGTAGGAATATTTTTCAGACAGTGTTCGAAACTCACCTTTGAGTTTTAGGAGCCATGTGGCGCATCAAGCCCGATTTTTAGGCGCCATTGAAGATTTTTTAGGGGCCAAATTGACTTTTTACAGCGCATTTAGTGAAAAGTTAGACGCAAGATGTTTTCGTAATAACTAGTAAGAAGCTGTAACTCGGAGATGACAAGTACAAATGATGAAATCGTGAAGAATAGAAAAAGCTTTCACTTGTGGTTCTGAAAATTTCGAATTATCACTTATTATGAAAATTCAGATTTTTAGGGGGCAATTTTGTAGGGGCCACGTTGGCGCAGAGCCTTTATGTTTTAGGCGCCATGGCCGATTTTTTAGGCGCATTTGGCGCGTTGGCGCCTCTGAGTTTCGAACACTGTATCTCAGAGGAACCAATCCGATCCATTCGTGCTAATGGAATTTCAAAATTAATGACTTAATCGAACGACCAATTCAAAAATGCACACGTATGTCCATTCTGGCGTAGCTAAGCTATCATGCATTTTTGCCAGGCTTTTACTTCTGTGTAAATACCTCCAGCATTGCTCAAAATACGTACTTAAATATTTTTCAAAAATTATATAGGTAAACGTGTTTAATCAACGGAGAAAAACATCAGTAATCGATCAGGCTGAGTTGCACGCGCTAAATGGACTTGTGTGCTTTTTCGAATTGGCCTCTCAAATTGGACTGCATTTTGCAATATGGAACTATAAATTCTGGCTCACCTGAAAAATCACCTATGTGCATAGGGAAACTAATAGCACATACGTTGTTTTTAAACTGGGCCGTAATTTATAGCTCCTATTTGCAAAATGCAGTCCAATTAATCATCAGCTCGCGTCTCCTGACCAGACGATACCACGTCTGACCATTTCTCTGCCGTTTCTCTCTTTTTTGGTCGTTCTTTTGTCGAAGCGCCCTTTGCGGGTCGGGCCGCGTAGCGGCCAGGGGGCATAGCCTCCTAGTTTTTTTATAGCGTTTGCGGCAGATGAAATTCATTCCCAGACAACTGAATTCCTTACAAAAGTGAGGAAAAACTCGAAGTAGATTTAGGGAAAAATTCATAGCGGAACTGTCAGATAAGTTACATACAACTAGAGAACTACGTTGCACAATTTAAGTAGCATTGGAAGTCTCATACGCCCTTTTACCGAAAGATGCCTCAATTAGAGGTGTATCAAGAAAGAAAATACAATTTGGTATTTACCCGTAAGTCCATACCTGGTAACTTGGTTACCAGTTGGCTAGCGATGTCCTCACACTCGGATGGATCCAGTTTGTCCTTAATGACGTCAGCATCCGACTCCCAGCCCCGGTCAGCCACGTGAGCGTACATCCCTGCAGGTGATGCATGCGTCACCCTGCCGGCATTAATCGACGGTTTTACGATATTGACGGAACAAACATAGTGAGGGTGTAGTTTGTATTTATGAGCCACTTCCTACTATGTCAACATGCTCAAACTCGGAAGCTAAGAACTTGTCCCTCGATCGCACGCCTTTTGCATTCGTTGTTCATTCCTTATTCCCTTCTCCTTCAGTTTAACCTCACTCTTCCCGATTCAACTGGCTTTTTGTATCGGGTAAGAATTTTTCAACTCCATATTTTTGGCTGTACCGGTGTTGCAACGTGCTGCACGCAATAAAATTAGCTTCCCGAAGAAAAATACGTTAACATGCTTGGAGAAGCAGCAAGTATAAAAGTAAAAATGAAGGTAATGAAAAGAAGTAGATGCCATTAAGCTGCCATTTTCTCCTTTATTACTTGAAAGGTCTCAGGGATGTGAAGAATAAATAAAATGGCAGCATAATTGTCAGAGATCAGTATGAGATCTACTTCTTTCTATTATCTTTATTTTTTTGGGGAAAAAATGGTTTAAAAGCAGTTATTTTGGAATTTCGCCCAGATTCGTTCATGTTTAAGTAAAATTTTCGCCATTAATTCCCTTGAGAGCGTTCATAAGTCACGTAACGCACTTTTTCGGCATCCTTCTTACCCCCTTTTAACACTCGAAACGCGACCTTGAACTCTCCTCATTAATGACGTAGCGCACCCCCTTCCTTAAGATCCCCAAAAATGTGGGAAACTGTCGAATATGCTTGATACAATTTGAAGTACTTTTAATGATAGTGTGACGAAATAACGTCGAAGAAATGAGGATAATACATTTTGGCGTTTGTGTGTCTTCTACCAATAGAGAGGGCTCCGTTACGCTTGCGTTCGATACTCCTCTCCATCTATGTAATGCACAGTGGCGTGGCGTGCTTTGCGATATATCGATTGATCTGTCATTTAAACCTATGGAAAAGGATCGATTAACTGGGTGTTCGCAGCGAACACCCTAATAATCGATTCTTTACCACGGATCCAAATGGGGAAATATCGATAATCGATCATTCACGCCACGCCACGCTACTGGTAATGCAGTGTAACGCGAACTCANCCCCCCTCCCCCCTTTTCAAGAGCGTAACGTAATTGAAGAACACTCCCTAATGATTTGACAATATTTCAAATTAGTGTTAAACCGCTTGCTTCCCCATTTTCTCAATGGCACGATACGTGTTTTCGCGGTACATACCTGGTGGTGGTTACGAGCCCTGCGATCCGGTCGCTCGCCTGTGCCCAAGTAGCGATGGATGTCAATCGATTTTGGGCCTCGTTCATGCCTTTGCAGTCGCCTCTGGACACAGCTGGTCCGACACCCAGCATCCCGTAATTCGTCTTAACGCCCGTAAAATAGGCTGTAGCCGTGCTTGCTGAGTCAGCCACTTGTCTATCCACGCAGTAAGTCTGCATTGAAAAGATAAAGTGGTTTATTCAAAAAAATATAAGCGCCTTTAATATATATATATATATATATATATATATATATATATATATATAGATTTGGGGCCTGATTCGTGCCCTTGCAGTCGCCTCTAGACACAGCTGGTCCAACACCCAGCTTTCCGCGATTCGTCTTTACGCTCGTAAAATAAACTGTAGTCGTGCTTGTTGAGTCGGTTACTTGTCTGTTCACGCAGTAAATCTGCATTGATAAGATATAGTGGTTTATTAAAAAAAAATCAGCGCCTGGATGCAACTATACTCGTATTCAATGGATGTGAGTGTTGCATACACAAGAATATGAAGGAATGAATTCGTCATCAAGCTCCACCCGCCAAACCAACCCGCTTTCCCCTTCTTCCTCTTATGCCGCTTAGTTCCGTTTAGCAGAAATTGAAGTATGTTAGGAAGCCTATATCCTCGCAAACCAAGATACGTAGCGTGTGGTATTTTTGACGTCAATATTGCTATCAAATTAGCTCTCTTGGAATGAAATTTTTGTCAAAATGACACTGCAACTTTAAAGGAAACTTAAAAATATGTACAACTAGAAATAATATGAATGCGAACTCACTTTGGATAAACCGGTGAATGGGAAGCTTTCAAAACTAAGTTTTTGTTCCTCGCCGAGGAAACCGGCTTTTTGCCCTTTGAGAATTCGCGCCGCCGTGATGGTTGATATTGACATTCCATCTCCGAGAAAGAGAATGATATTTCGGGCTTTCTGCCGCAATATTTTTTGCTGCACATGCTTTGTCACCTCTATCCTGGCTGAAGTTAGCCATTTCAGTGGATCTGAAACAGTAGATATGTTGATTTATAAATTGGTATGCAGAATCCTTCATTTATTCTTTCTAGTCTCCAGCTTGTTGGGTCCTTACGCAGTATTATTCAAGTAGTCACAAGGATTTGGACTTACTGATTCGCCTTCATTAAAGGAGGTAGGCAAAAGGGGCTCCTAGTCGCTTGAATAGTGGTTTTCGTTTTAATTTTATCGGTTTCTTTGATAGCCAGTTCACCGCTAAGGATTAATGTATAATAAGTTTGTCGTTACCTTTACTGCACTGAGAAAAAATTATGGTTATAATTACCATATTAGTGGTGTTCAATATGAACTCTCAATTAGTAGTTTCCAAAACCAATAATAGAGATATTTTTTCGATTAAATGGTAATTTTATTACTGCAAACTTGTAAAATTACGATTGCTCCAGTAATAATATCACTATTATTGGTTATGGCCACTACTAATTAAGAGTGCATATTGAACACCACTAATATGGTAATTATAACCATAGTTTTTTCTCAGTATGTGTATGTATGAGCCGCTTTCACGGCGCGCTAGGGCGCTCTGCGACGCCTATTCTCCACAGGAATCTGTCATGGTAGAG